ACTCTTCTTCATCTATTCAGCAGACTCTTTCCCTCAAAGAAGTGGTACCAAATTAAGTCAGTCTGTGCTCATCAGTGTTAATTTCACCAAATCAGGAAAAGGACTGGAAAATGCACCTAACCCCAGACCCCTGGGACTGTCGAGTTTCAAGAGGTTAAGATAGAAAAGTCTCATTCTCTGTACTTCAGTCTCCTCTTGACATTTCACTGCTTGTTTTTCTCAGAGCACTACACTCTATTTTATTCTTCATTTCTGATTAGCTCCACTGACAGCAAGAAGTGAGGTATGTCACTCTTTTTTGAAATGAAGTACAAGATTATTCAGTAAGTCTTCATTGTAAAAAGCACCTGCAAAAACCTAGTCCACTAGAAGCCTTTTCTAATGCCTGTGGCAAACATCTTAATGCAGTATTTACTGTTACCTGAAGAGATGAGAGCAGCACTTTCACTATTTTGGTAGATGCACAAAGATGAATTTAACCCACATATTTTAGCTTCAGTGAAGCACATCTTCCCATAAAAAGGGATGTGCTTCAATGTTGCCAAAGTCGGCAGGACTCCAACTCTCCAAATCCCCAAATATTAGTACAAAATATAATGTTTTATATATATATATATATATATATATATATGACTTAAGAAAAATAATTTTCAAGTTCACAGAGACATTCACAAAAGTTTCTTCAATTTAGTGCCTTCACATACTTAGAGCTGAAAATTTTCATCTAATCCCATTCTTCTCTATCAGTTACACAATATTATTGCATATTGATTGTATCATTCAAAACATAATAGTTCAAAGTTCTTTGAAAGAGTAGGATGGTAAGAGTGACTAACAAAATCTTGGCTCATTTTGGTGATTATATATCTTTATGTGCAGTGAGGTTTTGCACATTACATCCAACTTCCAGATGACAGCTTCCCAAATATATCCCAGATATATAACACAGGTTCAACCTCATAGCCATCTGACTCTAGACACCTTGAACCAATGTGTATCTCTACTCTAAAATTTCTTAAAGGAAGCTATGTAGGAGTTTCAAAAAAATATTTCACAAATAAAATACCCTAAAAATACGGATTCAACATCATTCCTTCTTCCTAAATTTTTACACTCATTTAGTTGCTAAGAAAAATATGTCTTTACCTTTGTAGCTACTCAACATTCTCCACTGAATTTGTTCACCATCAGACTGTCTCTTATTTTTTCCTCCATTATCCACTGTCTTACAGAAGCATGTCTTGAATTTTTACCTCTGCTTACCAGCCATGTAATATGCTGGAATGAATACTTATAGAGGGAAGCAAAGGGAGGCCTCTACTTTCACTTCAACAGTTTCCCATAATATTCATGGAAAAGTTGGTGAATGGAATTCTACACTTTGTCACACCAGTTAGAGACAGATTTTTGTTAAGTGATTTTTCTTGTATTTCCTAAATTATATCATATATGTAACATTCTTCATTCATTCATTCATAAGATATTTACAGAGTTTCTGCGACGTCCATACCTCAATACTAGTCACTAGAGAAAATGAATATAATAAAGTGGAAGATGTAATGTGTGGTCTGCATCCTTCATGAACGTATGGCTGAGTTTGAAGAGACAATAACAGCTTTCCTAGGTAACAGCAATTGATATGATATGAGATCTAGAAATGGCCCGCTACTGTAGTTTACAACCAGAAAGTCTTCTCCTTGGCTGGCACTTTAATGCCGTAAAGTATGTAATTTATTATTGTGCATCGAATTTCATCTCTAAATGTAGTAAAAAGGAACAGTTCACTATTCATGGCAAGTAAAGATATAAGGTCATGCTTTAGCTACCTTAAGAAAGATCAGGCCACCAAAATCCAGTATCTTCATAGCTGATGTTATTAGAGAGTGTGAAAAGCTGAAGGTAGAAAAAAACCTGTTGCCTGTGTGTGAATGCAAAAGGCAGTTAAGTTGCTTGTGTCTCTGGTGGAAGGATTCAGTAAAAGTGTACTGCTGCTGTCAAATATGAGATATCAGAGAGTGTCATAAAACATCATTGCACAGTTATTAAAATTATTTTAATCAATTAGTGAAAACTTGAGGAAGAGCATTATTCTATAACCTTATGAAAAGATATGAGTGCCAATAGCTACTTAGTTGTTTTAAGTGATACTGTGTGAAAAAATTTTCAAGATAAATCTCCCAACATGTCAATGAGTATAAAAATACATTACAAATGGTTACAGAATGCCTTTACATTGCTATAGCTTTTAAAGCTATCTAACCTTCTAAGTCCTCAATCAATAACACACATTTCATATTCAGTTGAAACAAAATAAAAATGTGCACCTATGGCTATCAGTGTTGACTGGAATATAGTTGAAATACTTCTGTTCCAGCACACCGTGCTTCAGAAATATGCTTTATATATGTTGTAGGTTTGTGATATCAGTTCTTGTTTTATTATTTTTGCTTCTAGCTCTATGAAAACTTCTTAGCTAAATCTCCACTAAATGATATACAACTGTAGTCCCTTTGCTTGAATTAAAGTCTCAAATGTATTTAGTGTGATTTTATATTTTGAACTTTATAATGCAAGTCATGAATAATTCACTTTGGTTGAATAAGTGGAGAATAAAGGTGAATAAGTGAATAACTAAAATGATGCTTTTAAAATAGGGTCCCCAGGCACTTAAAATTCTTAAGCCGTTTTGTAGGCCAAAAATATAGTGTAAAAAGGGTACTCTAAGGTTTTAATGATTGTGATAAAGATCTCAAAAATAAGCACAGAAGCTTAAAGTAGAACAGTTAAACAGGAAGCAATCACTCCAATAGAAAATATATGAAATAATACATGTATGGTAATAAACATGTCCAAATATGCTGATGATAACATAAAAGGTTAAAACAAAAAGACTGCATTTCCCTTGAAGAAAGTAGGAAGGCTGCTGTCCAGGGTCCAACAGATAGTTCCAAACATCACAAAGCAAAACAAACATTTCTTAGAGGACATGTAATTGTCTCTGTCACTTGTAATTTTGTCATTATAAAGAATACTTTATAAAATGTAATTATGTTTTCAAAAATATAGCTGTTTGAAATTATTTTGCACATTAGCAAAATGTCTTTTATTTTAATAAACAATACTGAATTTATTGGTAAAAAAGCATTTTTCAAATTATAAGAAAATAACTTTAATTTTTACTTTTACATTTCCTTATACTCATGTTTTTTAGTGAAAAGAGTTCAAATTATTGGTACTTTGAATGCAATTATATTTTTTAATCTTTTAGATCACTTAGTGTAATACAAATTATGTGAATTTCAGTCATAACAACACAACTAGCAATATTTCTAACATACAAAGAGAAAAATTAGATGAGTAATAAAGACAATTTATAAATTGTACATCTATTATATAAAATATTATTTCATACAACTCCATTTTTAGGAGTTGTGATCAATTTGTTGCGACTTTCTTAGGACAATAAAATACGTCTTGTCTTGCTGACAATAAGGGTCTGATAAAATAAAGGTACACAGAAAAATAAGATGATGAATTTTGATGCCAGAAATTTCTATGAGACTTAGAATCATATTAGATGTTACAAATATATTTTCAAAGCTGTTTCTTTAAGATTAGAAAATTTAAAGAACAAGTTTTTCAGAAGCTTTCATTCTTAACCAAAGAGCTTTCAACACTACTAAAAACAAGTTCCACCAGGCGGTGGCTCACTCCTGTAATCCCAGCACTTTGGGAGGCCGAAGCAGGTGGATCCCCTGAGGTCGGGAGTTCAAGACCAGCCTGACCAACATGGAGAAACCCCCGTCTCTACTAAAAATACAGAATTAGCTGGGCCTGGTGGTGCATGCCTGTAATCCCAGCTACTCGGGAAGCTGAGGCAGGATAATTGCTTGAACCCAGGAGACTTGCACCACTGCACTCAAGCCTGGACAACAAGAACAAAACTCTGTCAAAAAAAAAAAAAGGAAGGAAGGAAAGAAGGAAAGGAGGGAGGGAGGGAGAGGGAGAGAGAGAGAGAGAGAGGAAAAAGAAAGAAAGAAAGAAAGAGAGAAAGAAAGAAAGAGGAAGGAAGGAAGAAAGAAAGAAAGAAAGAAAGAAAAGAAAGAAAGAAAAAGAAAGACATCTCTTTTTCTCTATTGGTATCTGGTCTCCAGGAAACCGTAAGTATTATTTGGAAGTGAAGTAGCCAAACAGCAGGAAGAAACATTAGAAAAAATAAATTTCTCCCTTCCTAAACTGCAGTTTCTTTGCTGGTGCCTTCCTTTAGCACAGGTCCAGAATGCACAGGACTTGGTACCCCAGGAGATGAAGTCTACAGGCCTCCCTTTGGCAGAGGAGGATGGGGATTTGTTGCAAGTGTAGAGGGGGAAGAGCAAATAACCATCACAAATTGGTGATGTTAAACTGGGTTCTGGGTCTTACAATGACTCAATTTTTTTTTTTTTTGAGACTGAGTCTCGCTGTGTTGCACAGGCTGGAGTGCAGTGGCACAGTCTCGGCTCACTACAACCTCTGCCTCCCAGGTACAAATGGTTCTTCTGCCTCAGCCTCCCGAGTAGCTGGGATTACAGGCATGTGTCACTATGCTTGGCTAACTTTTGTATTTTTAGTAGAGACAGGGTTTTGCCATGTTGGCCAGTATGGTCTTAAACTCCTGACCCCAAGCAATCCACCCGCCTCGGACTTCCAAAGTGCTGGGATTACAGGTGTGAGCCACCACACTTGGCCTAATAACTCAATTCTTAATTCTGCATCAATGCACATTAGAGAGGGCATGTTTACCTGGGTAATATTTCAATAATATCGTTCCTACATATGTGGTTCACATAATATTTCCCTTTTTTCAAAGATTACTGGCATGTAAGAGTGAGGGTGTGAATTTGATAGTAAGGGGAAATGGAGAAAGAAAGATGATTCCACTGTGTTCAATCAATTTTTGCCAAAGGCTCTTGGAAAACTATAAGCAAGTACCACGTTAAAATTTCCAGAGCTCAGAGACCGGAACCCAAGATGGCTGCGCTCTTGCTGAGACATGTTGGTCGTCATTGCCTCCGAGCCTACTTTAGCCCTCAGCTCTGTATCAGAAATGCTGTTCCTTTGGGAACCACAGCCAAAGAAGAGATGGAGCGGTTCTGGAATAAGAATATAAGTTCAAACCGTCCTGTATCTCCCCACATCACTATCTACAGTTGGTCTCTTCCCATGGCGATGTCCATCTGCCACCGTGGCACTGGTATTGCTTTGAGTGCAGGGGTCTCTCTTTTTGGCATGTCGGCCCTGTTACTCCCTGGGAACTTTGAGTCTTATTTGGAACTCGTGAAGTCCCTGTGTCTGGGGCCAGCACTGATCCACACAGCTAAGTTTGCACTCGTCTTCCCTCTCATGTATCATACCTGGAATGGGATCCGACACTTGATGTGGGACCTAGGAAAAGGCCTGAAGATTCCCCAGCTATACCAGTCTGGAGTGGTTGTCCTGGTTCTTACTGTGTTGTCCTCTATGGGGCTGGCAGCCATGTGAAGAACGGAGGTTCCCAGCATCATCTTCCCACACCTTATTACATTCATCCATCTTTCTGTTTTTCATTCTTATCTCCAGCCTGGGAAAAGTTCTCCTTATTTGTTTAGGTCCTTTTGTACTTTCAGATCCCGTTGGAGCAGTAGAGTACCTTGTAGACCATAATAGTGGAAAAGGGTCTAGTTTTCCCCTTGTTTCTAAAGATGGGGTGGCTGCAAAAACTCCCCTTTTTTGCCCACAGCTTGCCAACTCTAGAAGCAGTTATTCTGTCTGCATATTGGGCTTTGATTTGTGCTGAGGGTCAGCTTTTGGCTCCTTCTTCCTGAGACAGTGGAAACAATGCCAGCTCTGTGGCTTCTGCCCTGGGGACTGGGGGTGAGGCTTTGGGTGCCACTGCCTGTGGGTTGCTGGCTTAAAGGACAATTCTGTTCATTGGTGAGAGCCCAGGCCATTAACACCTACGCAGTGTTATTGAAAGAAGAGAGGTGGGGGTGGAGGGGAATTAGTCTGTCCCAGTTAGAGGGAGATAAAGAGGGCTAGTTAGTTCTTGGAGCAGCTGCTTTTGAGGAGAAAATATATAGCTTTTGACACAAGAAGATCCAGAAAATTATTGAACATATTAATGGTTATTTCTTTTTCTTGGATTTCCAGAAAAGCCTCTTAGTTTTATGCTTTCTCATCAAAGTCATGTACCCTTTTTTTCTGAAACTGAATTAAAATACTCATTTAAAAAAAAAAAAATTTCCAGAGCTCAGCCTGGGCAATGTGGTGAAATCCCATCCCTACAAAAAGTACAAAAATTAGCCAGGTGTTGTGGTGCACACTTGTAGTCCCAGCTACCTGGGAGGCTGAGGTGGGAGGATCGCTTGAGCCCAGGAAGTCCAGGCTGCAGTGAGTTAAGATCACGTCACTGCATTCTGGCCTGGGTGACAGACGGGGACCTTGTCTCAAAGAAAAAAAAAAAATTCCAGAGCACTCTAACATGGGATGGCTGACTCATTATATTTCATAAAGAACAATGAACTTTCCATGATTAATGTTCTCCCATGAGATGACATATTCCTTCACCATTTAGTTAACCACCTAGTTAATATAATCAGAGCTTTTGATTTCCATGCACCCTAGAAGTAATTCTTAGAGCACCACAGCTTTAGCTAATGACAGATTACTTTGTGTAATTCTCACAAAACTAAATCAACTTGTTGGTTGTTATACAGGATAGTCTGAACAAATACAGTTCTGCACTCTTTTCCTTTAGTGACCATTCATTTTTGTTTTATACTTTCTAGAAAGTTTATTTGTGTCATAAACTCTTTCTTTGAAGATAGAATTTTCGGAGCATGCTCCTGAGATGCTTTAAATATATTTTCAATGCCTTGATCTGGTATCTATAGTGTGACATTTTTGTTTCATGCAAATTAAATAAATCTCTCATGCTATAATTTATGAAATACTGAGATGGCCATATTTTTATTATAAAACTCAAAGTTTGAGACGTCTTTCTTTTGGTCACTGTACCCTTGACAAATGAGTAAAAGTCATTTTCTAAAAAGAAGGACATATAGATCGTTTTATCTAATATTGTACATTTTAACATTTTAATCCAACACTTTCTTCAGCCTTCATTCAGTGTCTTCTTGTCAATTTATATATATATATATATATATATATATAGAGAGAGAGAGAGAGAGAGAGAGAGAGAGAGAGAGAGAGAGAGAAACTTCCATATCGTTTTCCATAGTGGCTGCACCATTTTACATTCCTTCCAACAGTAGACAAGCGTTTCCTTTCTCCACATCCTTACCAACACTTATCTTTCGTTTTTCTGATAATCATCAGCAAATCAGGAACTACTAATAATTACCAAGGTAGTTATGTTGTTGTGGGACAAATCAGAGACGGGAGAGACCAAGCAGAGTTCAGGAGAGCCTTTAATTATTAAGGTGATCACTGACTCAGTTGGACTAGGATCCAGAAAGTCTGAGCCCGGAACAAAGGGATCAATCACCTTGTAGGCAGTTTGTGGCGGGAGTTACGTGCTGCAGGAAGCGTACTTGCAGAAGCGAGAACAAAGGCAGTTAATTACTCTTTTACTTTTGTTACACCCTATGTCTTACAACCTTGGGAATACATGCTTTTGTAGCAATTGCTTATCAACCTTGTGACTTTACAGCCCGGCTGGGGAGGGAAGCAAGAACTCACCATGCCTCAAGGAATGTAGAAAGATGGAACACAGATAAGCCTCTCTGGGCACAGAGGAGGGATAAGCAGCTAATGTTCTTTCTAAACCCGCCCCACCCCACCCCCCGGGGCGGGGGGGGGGTTATATTACATCCTACCTTCAAGAAAAAAGAATAAATTTTCCGACCATTATACTTATAAAATTCATTAATTCCCCCTTCAGTGTAACAGTGTCAAACTGACTTTTTTATGATCGAAGTTTGCTGTTTTAGAAGGAAATATTTTTTCAGCCAAAATATATTGTTCTTTTCAGCCATTTCCACCTTCTCTAATTTCTACATCCTTGAAATTTTCCAATTCATTTACTCCTCCATAGGGAGAATATTTTATTTTTCTTTGAGTATACCTTGTACAATTTTTGCAGTCATTGATAGTATAATTAATAATTTATATGAAAATATTTATAATTTGAAGACAATATTTGAAGGTTTGTTTTTAGAATCAAGTACATACCCTTAAATCCCAGCTTTAAGAAAGAGCCACATAAACTTGCCATAATGCATGAGTAATATAAAATAATGTCAGAGAAGAGAATACTACTTTCTGACCTTCACACAAATTCTCCTTATGCACCATTGCTAGAGGGCTGAGAGCCCTTTAAACTTTCTGACCTACTTAGTGTGGCTGTAAATGTCATTCTTATTCATAGCAACATTTAATGCTTTCCTGGGTTTTGCTAAACTATTTACCACAGTGATATATTGCAGAATTGAATTCCACAGCTTGATGGTGTACTGCATAAAGAATTGTATTGTTCATCAGTCTAAAATGGAATGCGATTCATTCTCATTGAGAGTCAGCTTGTTTCCATGGTATGAGAATGGGAGGAGAAAACACCTTATGTTTTCAGTAAAACATTCATTACTTTTACAGCTGTTTTCCTTTTCATAGTTTACTTCTCTCCATTACTAAGTAAATCACACTATAATGCCTCCCAGACATAATTTTTATATTTATTTTGGCCTTTTTACTCAGCTTTAACATTTGGCCTGATTTTAATCTGTCACATTTTACATAATCTTCCTTATAAATTGACTACTGAGTGAAACAGTGAAACCGATGCTCAAAAGAAATCTACAAGCACCGCAAGGAAAAGTCGTCAGCAATATACAGTTAGGAATAAGTTGGAATTGAAAATTCAGAATTTTTAAGTTCTGTTCATGTGAATGCTCCATGCTATTTTTCCCTTCCTATATCTGCTAAAAAGTTAGAAGGAATTTCTTCCACCAGTTTAAATACATTGTAAAATGTATCTGATTTTAAACAAATATTTATATATAATCATCATTGTAATAAGCTCTTAGATAATATTTATCTTTTACATATGTGAAAGTCAATACAAATATTTCATGTTAACTCTAAATCCAAACGGCCTTCAGTGAGTGTTCTTTGCAAAGACATTTAGAGTTAGCACTTCTGCTCACAAAAACGTTCCAGGAGCACTTTTCTAATAACAACAGGAAATGAATACAATTATTTTAGCTGCCAAAAAAATTGTTGGTGATAAGATTCTTTGTGCATTGATTTTAGAACCAATGGTATAAGAAAATCTTAAAGTATTTTCTATATATAATGCCACTGAAAACAATGTTTAAAAAGGATTAAAAAATAAGAGACATATCAATATTGATAAATAATGTCCATAACAATATTGATACTCACAAAAATTAACTTGAATATTTAATTTTTGTACACAAGTTTAGATGGTAATGGCAGTTCATTACTAATGAATATAATTGTTTTTATGGGATCCTTCTCATGTATTAGTTCAGACCTTCTTATCTTAATCTTTCTTATCAGAGATAATTCTATGACTGCTAAATCTAGAAGGGTGTAGGTGAACTTTTCATAGCAAATGTATTGCTTTTCACCCATTATACAATGTAACTGGTAAAACAAATCAAATGTGTGTATATTAATAATCATACCAAGATCTCTAACCCCTCTAGACTACAATGATATAGTAATTTAACAAGAATTGCTTTGTTCTTCTACAAGCCTGTCAGATCTAGGTTTTAATTATCTTCTCACCACCTCTAGGCCTTTTCATATTCAGACGATATGTAAATTAATGTAGTCTTTCATTTTGAAAGAGTTAAGGGATAGGAATTTCTCTAGAATATTTCTCTCTTAGCCGTCTTAACCATACATCTGCCTTCCTGTAGAATATAAATCATAACAAAAATATGGAATCCTAATTCTGGAGAGTAAAATCAGTAGGAAAATAAATCCTGCTCTCAAGAAAATAAACATTATTAAACTTTAAAATCTTCAAAGTACAATGGAAGAAAAATTAGTTTATAAATTAACTTTTCTACAAATTTAAAAAACACCCACAGTATTGTGTCTTCATTCAAATGATTTATGTGTTCAAGAATCTTTTTTTGTTTTGTTTTGTTTTTTTGGAGATGGGGTCTCACTGTTGCCCAGGCTGGAGTGCCATGGAATGATCTTGGCTCCCTGCAACCTCTGCTTCCTGGGTTCAATGATCCTCCTGCCTTAGCCTCCCGAGTAGCTGGGACTACAGGCACGCACCACCACGCCCAGCTAATTTTTTTTTTTTTTTTTTTAAGTAGAGATGGTGTTTCACCATGTTGGCCAGGCTGGTCTCGAACTCCTTACCTCAGGTGACCCACCTACCTCAGCCTCCCAACATGCTGGGATTACAGGCATGAGCCACCACACTCAGCCTCAAGAAACATTTTTAAAGCAGTGTTCTAAACTTGAGGCTACAACCCTGAACTAAAAAGACAAAGCCCCTGTTTTTGTCTGATTACATCTTACATGC